AAAGTCTGACTTGCCTTCCACTTGCTTTTTGCAAAATTTTTCTTAATCTGAGCACTGACAGACTCGTGAATGTTCTTGTCCAATGCAGTATCCCCRGCAATCCTAACAAAAGGACAGGAAGTGTTTGTGAGTGTGCAGGAATTTACATTTACAGTGAACCACRCTTCTTTTACGAGACATAAACCTTACTGAGGTTTAAAGGCCTCTTTTAACAATAGGACAACAGAGACGGTAATGATCTGAACAGGAGTACAGGAGCCATACCAGGGGTGCTGCAGAGCCTGCTCACACGTGTAGCGTACATCAGGGTTTTTTTCCATCAGGTGAATTATGAAGTCTTTAGCTGGAATTTTAAAAAAAACGTTTGAATTTTGCTGCATTTCTACAACTTCAGCAAGCCATTAAGGTATCTTTAGTCACACTGCTGTTTTTTATGGTTACATGGCACAAGTACAAATTTATTCAAAGTGTGGCTCAAAACTTTATAACAAGGAACATAATTTAATATCTTTACTACCYGAGTCCGAGATGTCGTCCCAATACGGAGAGTCAAACTCATATTCTGCTTTCAGGATCTGTTCAAACAGTTTGGCATCATTTTCGTCATAGAAAGGAGGATATCCACACAAACTGGAACACAGAGGAGAAAACAGGTAAGTAGGACGTCGGACCTCCAGGATTTTATCTGGAGCATCAATTTACTTAACAAAACAGGTCAGCAGTAAATAAAATAAATATGATAAAAAATACTAATGGTTTAAATTGTTGTAAMTGATAAAATGAATTCTTGTTTAAAGGTATCATATCATGCTTTTAAATCCTTTTTCATGTCTAAATCATTCACTTATGGTCTATTTAAAATAAAACTGCAACGCTTTGGTCTTAATTCCTCGTTTTTTTGCTCCACAGACTCCTTGCTTTCCTTGCTTTACCCCTGTTCTGAGTTGCGCCTCAGAGCAAGCTGTTTTGGTGTGGTCTCTTTAAAAACAAATGAGATATTTCACACCCCGCCCCCTCCAGGTCCCTGAGCGTTCGACTCCACAAAGTAACAGAAAAAGAGTAATATAAAGGGAAGCGTCTTTCAGAATTTACTTCTCAGAATGTACTTTTGACCAATTACTGTATGCAGTTTAAAATCTTAGCAACTAAACTTCTGTTTTTTTATTGTAAATGCTTTACTTTCACTTCTCATATTCCTTATTTTGTCGAGAATTGTGGAAACTCACTCCGAATCAGAYTTGAAATTTTTAATTTGCACTGAAAAGTTGCATCAGTTTAGAAAAATAAGTGTTTTGAATAAGAAGTCTTCTATGACTTAAAACCAGCACTCACAGAATATACGCAATGACACCAATAGACCAGCAGTCCACTGCTTTACTGTAAGGTTTCTGTGCCAAGACTTCAGGAGCTTAAAAAGAAAAAGACAACAGGATTCAGACCTGAGATCAGACTGAAACTTCATGAAAATATTTAGCATTATTTTCAAACACTTGAACTGCGTTGCTGTGGTCAAGTTACATGCAAAGATCAAACTAACTTACCGACATATCCAGGCGTCCCACAGGCTGTTGACATCACACTGCCAGAGCCCTCAATTTTAGACAAACCGAAGTCACTGATCATGATCTTTGAGTCTTCGTCGATGCTGTCGTAAAGTAAATTCTCTGGCTGGAAGACAGGGACAAACAGAAAAGCAGGGACATAATTAATCATATGACAGAGAAGAGAGCAAATACGTTTTGTTCAAAACCACAAGCAGACAAAGTTAAAGCAAGCTTCATTCGACATCACTTAGTTGGTGTTTTTGAGGTACAACACTCCATTTGTACCTTGAGGTCACGGTGCACAATGCCCAGGTCATGGAGGTATTTGACAGCATCAAGAATCTGCTGAATCAGCTTACTGGCATCTTTCTCTGTGTAGAAGCCCTTCTCTATGATACGATCAAAGAGTTCCCCACCAGACACCCTGCACAGAGCAAATCATTCATCAAAACTGACCACAAATATTATGGGAAAAAATAACATTTGTTAAGAATGCAGCTAAATTTATGAGCTTAAACATTAAAAAAATGCCTGAAGTAAAAAAAAGGAAGTTTGAACATATGAAAAGGGTATGAGGAAATTCAACAAGAGGAAATGTGAAGCAGGAACTTATTATAAAAGAAACATCTCTTTGTTCTGCAAGTCGTCACTAACTGCTTAGAAATCTTTTTGTAATTCTGAGAATTTAACAATCAAAGGCAAAAAAATATTAAATCCTTTAGTTTTAAAGTCAAAAAAGGGTTCAATGTTTGATTTAAACCACTAGATGGAGACAAATCTCTGAAAAGTAAAATTATTTAACGCATAAAATATAAAAAATTAAATAAATATAAATAAATTTTGGACCATAATCTGTGCACGACTTCAAAAAGTGAGCAAGTTGATGGATTGTAGATGTTGAAGTCACACAAAACAATTGTGAGTAAACACGAATGTTTAGTTGCATCAATCCTGTGTTTTATAAATGAACATCCTGCCCTCCACCGCCCGCTGCCTTTCACTTTCTTCTGCTCCGACTGTGATTAATGCATAAATGATTTATACTCGGAGGAGTCTGGCAGTTAACAGTGCTCCTGATCCTGGTCTTTTCCTTGATCTGGTTCCTCTCTGTGACATTTCAGCAGTGGAYGTGGGTGTGACGCCGACAGGCTGCTGGTGTGAGGGCAAACTCCCCGCTGCTGCTCACGGGTAGAGCCTCGCTGTGCTCAAGGCATGTGACAGAGAGCGTGTGGGAGACAGCGCGAGTAGGCAGTTTGGAAACACACATCACATAAAAAGAAAAGAAAATTGCACATTGCCGCACATATGTGAATACTCACAGTTGCATGACAAGATAGAGGTGTGATTTGCTCTCAAATATATCTTCCAGTGACACAATGTTGGGGTGTTTAATCCTGTAAGGAAGARGAGGAAATTAAATAAAAATATTGTATTAACCAAACAAAATATAATTTTTCACTAAACAGTTTATTGCAGGTGGAAAAATTAAACCTTGTTTATGATAAGAAAAAATATATCATTTGGGGATTAAAAGCTTATAAGTGGAGATGGGACACAGTTTATCTTTATGGATGTAGAGGAAGTATCACTCTGCATTGGCATGCAGCTCCCTCACTGGCTGAACTCTGACCTTTGACACCTGTCAGTGCTGCAACAGTCATGATACAATGACTCAGCATCTCGAAACAGGTCTTCTCTATCTAATCACCGTGTTAGTAATGTCTGTTTTATGTCTAACATCTTCCTYCATGGCATGTCATAGTAGAACAACAGTCTAATAGACACTGACTAATAAATAGCACCAACAGTAATACACCAGACTACACACTAGAAACAAGTGGATAGCCATTCATAAACACAGTAAATATCTGACCTGTTGTAGATAGCTTTTTAACCAACCTCAGTTTAATTCTGAGAGGATTGTTACCATCTTAAAACAACTTTTAGTCAAAGAAAATTATTAAATAATTTCAAATAAATAAATAACTAAATAAATAAATAAATAAATAAAGTTACAGGTTGCTTTTGTCTCAAGATGATACAACAAGAGCTGCACACCAACGGCAAAGGCTGTGTTCCATTCTGAAATACTTAAATATAAAATAACATTTTGCCATAACATTTTGGATTTAATTTTTACATATATTTTATAACATTTACTGTGAATTTAACATTTATTTAAAAAATAGCTAAATGTAAGAACAGTGAGCTAAATAAATTAATGTTAGAGGGAATTTTTAATGACGATTTTACACTCAAAAGTGAGAAAAATATTGAAAATGTTTTACAAACAAATTTTAACGCTTTATTTTCCACTTTATAGTAATTGAATATTTAAAACATTACATAAAGCTTTACACCAGAGCCAATAATGATTTACAGAGTTATCTACATTGGGTTTATGGTTATTTTAAAGCAGCAGCTAGCTATAGCACTTCTGATGCAAGCTGGTCCTGTAGGAATGTTATATTTTGTTTTACAGTTATTTAACCAGGCAAATCCCATTGATATCACTGATCTCCTTCTCAAGGGAGGCCTGGGCATCCCTTGGGGAATGGGGGAAACCGGAGTACCCTGAGAATACCTACACAAGCACGAGAAGAACATGCAAACTCTGCACAGAAAGACCCCAGATCCGAACCGGGGATCGAACCCAGGACCTTCTTGCTGTGAGGTGTCTGTAATAACCACTGAGCAATCGTGCTGCCATTTCAAAAGGTTTGTTTAAATTGTGATGAAATATTGTTTTAAAGTAGTAGAAGTCCAGTTTGAGTCCCACTTATTAGCTGTTAGCTCATCAATCCAATCAGAAATCATCTTAATTACTACCAACAGAAGCTTGTCAAAAAGCTACACACATGGACAAAATTGTTGATGCCCCTCGTTTAATGGAGGAAAAACCCACAATGGTCACAGAAATAACTAGAATCAGACAAAAGTAATAAACAAATTCTAAAATGAACACAGTCAGACGTTGCTTTTCAATCATGCTTCCAACAGAATTAAAAATCATAAAACAGGCCTGGACAGAAATGATGGTACCCCTGAAAATACTGTGACCAAAGGGACATGTAAAATCAAGGTGTGTCCACTAATTAGCATCACAGGTTTCTACAATCTTGTAACCAGTCAGTGGTATTAATTATTCATTCCCCTTCAGCATGTTGTTGATTTTGTCTTTTCACCACATCACACACTGACTGTGTAAGTCCTTTATCCCAGAAACACTCATGTGTCCACGATGTACCAGAGGTAACTCTTTATGGGTCAAGCTTGAGCTCAAGCTAATTACTTTGATAACTCTTATCCAGCGTAATGATCCATGGACACCTTCATTCATCTGCTTAGGACAGCGTGGTCAGAGAGATGGTCCCAGGGAAAGACAAACGATGGATTAAAACTACAGAGGGATTGGTCACATGTGACCTGTTATGAGCTTAGGCTTGCTGTAGAACAATGCCTGTGTTACTGAGCACACTGCAGGAGGATCACCTGTTTGATTGTTGGGTTGGGCATTAAAGAAACAAACCAACTTGCTTCTACTATATCATTCTAATCTGCAAAGTGCTACAAGCATAAACAAATTTTAAATGCATTAAATAAAACAAATACATATACAGTGAGAAAAACAGGTTATAAAAAGGAAGGCCTGAATATCATCTGTGGCTCTGACTTGACAGGAACAAGAAAAGTTGGGATTTTTTTTACCACCAGAATGCAAACGTGACAGAAATGTGTTGTGATCAAAACAAACTAATAGCTTCACTGCACCAAAAATCTTCAGCCTAGTGCTATGTCCAAAAATACATTAAATACCAGGACAAGAAAAACAAGCAGAGTGAGAGTGGGCTGTTGTTATGGGATAAATGATGACTTTTGATTTTCAGCATTGCATGGTTCTGTGCATTCTTCCAATATGAGCTCTTAGAAGGACGAAGGGCATTAACAGATAAATTATTCATTTACTACTTATTGTTGTGCAACAGCAATCCAAAACAGTGATAACTGGTGAGAAGTCTATATATAGAAGTATATTTAACTCAGTATATGAAAAAAATAATGAACCAAATAAGCTGAGAATTTCCCCACAATGACTGCAAWTTTTTGCAAACGACATATTTTATCTCACTATATGGTGACTTCACTACCTGTCAGAAGGAGGTCTAATCAACTATCTTTAACTAAACTGCTGTCAGCTACAGCTACTAATTTCTCTGGAAAACAAATAAAACAAACGTAAATCAATTCTTACATTTAGGGAGAAAATAAAGAAACGCACCTAATGAGCATTTTGATGACTTACCAGCTCTGGAAGTTTTAAAATTCATTTTGAGAACCATTTACTAATAATTGACCTAATTATCAGTGAGAAAGTAACCATAGCAGCTTCAGAAACACTTCCCTACCCGACAGTCAGCGTTCACAGATTTAGAAAAAAGCTGTGAAGCTGTAACATATGCAAGCTGCTTGTGAACTGCTAAGTGCAGTAAGCTGCTCTGTGTGAACAATGTTAGACACTCTCCATCATACAAAAACAGAGAGCCCCTGCTTTCTGGTTACAATCCTGTTTACCTGCTCAACAGCTGGTTACAATAGTCTGGACATTGTCACATATTTCATAGTCATAAGAGCACATAAGCAGGAGGATTAGTAAGAACAAACAGAACAAAAATAAGTGTAAACTCCTTTTTCTTTTCATGCTGTTAAGATCAGATGATCAGAGGCAACATACAGCCACCCAGACCGCTGCTATGTGATGGTGGGGGGCTACGTGTTAAGATGAGTAATGAAACCCTTTGCACGAATCAATACAAACTTCATACAAAGCCAGCCGTATCTGACCATCCAAGTTTACCTCAGCTTACTTCATTTGTCACAATTGTAAGTGAGCTGCTAACGAACCCCCACCGCTCTCATTCCACAGCCCTCACCTCTGGAGGGACCATAGCTGTATATTGTGTTTCTCCTGTAACCAAAGCAACTAGACCGCTAAAAATAACTTTGGACTGATGTAGATCAGCCATTTTCACTGTGACCTGTAATTCCCTACATATAAGAAAAAGGGGACATTTGAAACTCTCCACGATTATAAAACTGTTCTCGCCACGTCCTACGAACTATTACTTTAAAGCCCACATTTCTGTTTTCAGGTACAGAGGTGGAAGGAGCTGTGTGCAGCCGATTTTGAAAATTTGATGCAATTTGTTGTATTTTTAACAAAGTCAGATTAAAAAAATAAAATTTGGCTTTATTAAATGTATTTTTGAATGAGATGTACATTTTGATGTTAACATTTTTGGATAAATTAAACCAAAGCAAAGTTTAAATAAGCCTGCTGATCAGAAAGATTGTTACTGTACTTACCACTAAACCTCTTACAAAAATTAAATACAAAAAACMCTACCTAATAATAATAATTTCTTTATTGAAGTTCCCTGGTAACAATTAAATTATTTCCCATGATTTAATGTTGAACTGTTTTCTTTAGCTTCTCCTGTTTCATGTATACAAATTGTACAGCAATGTTTGACATATAAGATGGAGCTCAATATGACTGTATAATAACACGATAATAATTATGATCTGCAGTATTACACCAAAAGCTGTAACACAATTTTTATAGTGCTGTATTTAAAATATATTTATGAAAAATATCCCTACCTTCAACCTTGTGGAGCACAAACAAACGTGAGTTTAGGTATTACATTAAATAATAATAAAAATTTTGTGCGTATTAATGCTTGTGCCACAAAAAAACAATCCTTTACTTACTTGTGCAGGACTGCTATCTCATTCTCAATGCTGTTTTCTTTGCCTTCCAACGCCTTCTTGGGGATGCACTTGATAGCCACCAATCTGTGCGTCCTCTTCTCCTCGGCCAAGACCACCTCTGAGAAAGCTCCCCTGTAACACAAACACGCGGGTCAGCCAGTCCGACCTTGATCATTTATCATCAGGGTACAGGAAGTGTTCCTCCTCACATGCATCCAATACATCAAGAAAAACAAAACTTGCTTTATTTTGTGCTAAAATTGGCCTGCTGATGCCAGACCGTGTWTATTTTTAACCATAGCCTCCTGGTGAAGGCTCCAACATGCTGACTCAAGCTCTGGTGAGCCTGTAAGCTGGTGGGATGATTAGGAAGCTCCAGTATTGAACAGTGAGGTTTAAATCATGAGACGGTCATCAATCATTTGGATGTAGATTTAAACAGTTTACATGAGGAGGTGAGAGTGTGGCTCTATATTGGTACGTTCACCCAGTTTCAGCAGTGAAAACAAATCGCTTCACAAGTTTAGCAAACATTTTACAACTTTAAACTTTATGCTGCTTTATGTATAAACAGCAAGACCAAGATACACTGATAGATAAATGTGCAAAATCCAAAAACTAACTACAGCTAAGCTAACTACAAAACCCTCAGATTGAGCTTTGAACCATCTCTCCCTGCTGCTGCACATAGCGCACATTTACAGTTCAGTATCATGCATGCATTTAAATAAATAAAAAAACTCATATGTAAATAGTTGCCAGGGCAAAACATTTGATTGTCAAAAACCTACTAAGTTTGCAACAAGCATTTAGCATAAATTATTTACAGCCTCCCAAAAGCAGATGGCATCGACTGAAATTAATTATTTAGTGGGATACATTTTTTTTTAATGCTAGACATTTCTTGTGAAATGTGTCATCTGGACGGGTGCCCAAAGACATTTGGCTCAGAACCAAAACCTTACCTCAGCTATTTAAACTCCTGACTCACAATTGCACACGTCAGTCAGAACTGGTGGGGTTAGTAGTACATCAGAAATAAGAGACTGGGAGGAATGTTGAGGGTTGGGATAAAGGAAGCGTAACAACGTAACAGACTCTTAAAGCGCCTGTGACATGCTTTTTCTTCAGTTACAAAAAAATTAAAGGAAATATCCTAATATTTTAGAAATTTGGCATCATTCATATGATTTTTACCTAGTTTGTCACAAAACGTGCATATTTTTTTGCTAAATTTGGTGCAGTCCAAGTGAAACAGGAAAGGGGAACTCTTCAAAAAAAAAAAGGGGCAACTTCCTGGTCTTTATAAATCTTGCTCTTCTTTATCTATCTGATAATGACTCAAAATAATCTACAGAAACATCCGATTCTTTGTAGTCTGTTGTTAGCCATTCTCATTCAGGGATTGCCCTTTGACATCACTTCCTGTTTCTGCTCATGCGAATATCTCAACAACTGTTCATTTCAGTGTCGTAGATTTTTGTTTGCAATTCATCATTAATGTTATCTTTCCAAGTATGCACTCAAATATATCACTTAAATTTAATGTCACAGGCACTTTAAGCTGCATTAGAGGCTTTCAGACATGCTAACCTTTGGAGTTTGGACATGCATGTGATGTAAATATTGAATATGTTTATGACCTTTTTGTTTAAAAATGGTTTTAATTCAGCATGTTAAACACATTGAGAATCAATGTTAGATGTCATGTTCCAATGCATATCCATCTTTATGGAAACCTGTCTTGTTGAGCTTGAGGGTAAGTAGCAAACTGCAGCCAAATTTTTGCATATCTGTCGTTCTGCAGCTTCAGGTATACACTGTATGTGTGTGTACAGATGGGAACCACAGCCCTAATGCCAGTAAGTTTACAGATCCATTATCCTTTACAGCCAAGGWAGGACTGCAGTGTCAGTCTCCTGTTTCTAAAAAAAGAAGCTGATTCTAACAAACTGGAGTCTTACCTCTAATTTGAAGAATTTATGCAGAAACTGTTTAAAATCTATTAGGGGACAATGTAAAGTTGGCTGGACTTGGGTCACATGCAGGGCTGCACAATATATCACAAATTTATTGTGATTATGATAACAGCATTTGCAATAGGCATATCACAAAAGCAAACCTGTTAAACTGCAACAAATCGTTTGCTCAAATGTTTGCATTCATGCATCAGTCTGATAAACAAAACGGACCTGAGATACCGTGTCAAATGATAACTTGATCAGTGGAGAAAATGTTGGACCAAATGCAATGAGAAAATTTTCAGTTGGATTTAGGTTTGTTAAYTTTTATGTAAAGATCTTTAACTTATCTTCAGATGTTTTTATTATTTACTAATAAAACTGACAGTAAGGGGCGTTTTTCAATATTTTGAGTATCAGAAAATGTTTTCTGGGGGCAATGTTTTAAAATCATTTAAAAAACTGTATTGCATGCAGTTTGTTTCACTAATGCCTGGTTCACACAGCAAGATTTTAAAATTGTTTGATGATTTTTAAAGATTGAGGGGCCCCACACATGAGGATAAAAAAAAATCATAACAATTTGGTCCTACAGTGTGTGGAGTGCAGCCACACGTTAAGAAACACACCACACACAGATTTTATTCAGAAACATTCAAGGTCAGATGTGAAATCACACAAAACTTCTTGAGATCTCRCAAGGATTCAGCTGTCAGAGGAAAAATCTCACACGATCTCCAGAGATCAGACGTGAGTTCTGAGTAAAACATTTGAGATGAAGAAGCAATGCTGATCGTTTGTGTACTATTTAACAGAGAATAAACAATTCAAAATTAAATTTACAATGTCCAGTGGACTTYCTGGTGAGTCATGACAATTGTTGATGTTTTCCATCAATTCCTCCGTGACGTATATACAGAGAGATTCCCCTTCGTCTTTACGTCACCTTGCTTTCTGATWGGCCAMACGTCACATTCAGCAGGTTGCGAGCTCATTTGTTCTCAGGTGAACACCACACACGCTGCGCTATCGTGTCTATAACAATCCAACATGTTGAATATCCCCAATTTGAGGTTGGACCAGTCCCAACGTCCTTCCAAGCCACCTAGATCACTCTTTAATCACCACAAACAGCCGCAATATCTCTTACAATTATCTTTAGAGCCATCACGATAATCGAAGGTCCTTAAGATTGTCAGAAGGGCAAAAACGTGTCAAAATTTGGCACAATTATCCTGCCATGTGAACCTGGCATAATACGGCAGCTGTGTCTAGTTGCACTCTTTTAAAATGTCCCTGCTTTAAAGTTCCACTTCCACCAATCACAGATTACTTGATTTTGCTTCAAGTTCTGACATGAAAATGTAGGCATGCAGCTAAGATCATTTTTAACTGCTTTCCAACCAAAACAGCTGTGATGGTTTTGTTTTCATTTTGTCTACCCATATCATAACATTACAACTTCATTTTGTAAATTTTATCCGTAAAAGAAAAAGAAACCACCGCAACGATCAAATGTTAACCTATATCCTGATGAAASCTGGGCTCAAACCTGCAGCCTCAAGATTATAAAACCACAGCACTGACCACTGAGCTACTGTGGCCCCTATCACATTGTTACAACCAAAAACTTCTGGTTTAAAATATTCTTTATCCAYGTCAACAACCGACAAACAAAACTCTGATAAAGACACAGATTCTATTAGTTTTGTCTTGTTATTTTTAGATATTCATCCTGGGAGTGAGGGCTGTTTGGYCACAGTAAAACTGCCACAGAGAAGCTATTAGCTCTGGAAGGAATCCAGCTTTGTGGAGGATGTTGTCAGAGCTGCGAATTCCTCAGTAGCATCTGGAGGATTTAGTTGACATTCTCCATGCAGCCACCGTCAGRCTGAAGGGCTGTGGCAAAGTATGAATCTCTGGTTCACATAAACATGTGTAAAACCTGAGAACTCCAGCCTGTCTTTAACACCCCAGTCTGCTCATCCTTTTATTACTTTAATCAAACCACTACAGAGTCCTTCTTTTATCGAGTGAATTATATCATTCTGACACACATCTTCCAGACTGTTTCTCATTTCAGTTTATAGGTGATGTTAAATATGCCTCCCAGAACAAGAGTAAAGTAGAAAATATGTAGTTTTGACATCACGGCATGCAAATAAGCCTCACTAAACAAGACATCAGGATTAATCAGACTAAAACAGCTTTTTTACAGTATTTTCTGACTGTCAGAACATAGTGCTGACTTTTTTAGAACACTGCAGTGGTATGGACTGACCCTGAACACACAGACTTACTTTAAACGAGGGCTATTCAACTGGAGGCCCGTGGGCCACATCAGGCCCGCGAGTGACCAAAGTTCGGCCCGCCAATTGGTTCATTCATCTCTTAAACCCTAACCCCAAGTTTTCTACTTTAATTACCATGAGTTCTTTTAGTTAAACATAGACATGTTTGGTATCTACAGAAACGTCAGAATCTTGGCTTCAAGCTAGTAAAAACCAATTCTATGAAGATCCATGACAGTTATAATTACAAGCAGTTGAATATAAAACTATGAAAGTGAAAATTGGTTTAAAAATTTGGCAAATCAGATGTCAAAATAATATTTGTGTTAAATGAGGCATAATGTGTTATTTTTGTTTTTGATATTGTTTAATTTTCAATACTTTTATAGGGTTCTGTATAATGTATTCATGATTAAATACAGCAAAAATAAACTAATTCAAAGGTAACAGACCTTTGTAATACTTGGTTTATTTACATATGGCTTTAATTGCTGGATGTTCGGCCCCTCAGCAGTTGACCTGCAGAAACTGTGGCCCCCAGAGCAATTTAGTTGAAAAGCCCTGCTTTAAAAACTTTGTGAGCTTTTCTTTACTTTAAATTGATGCTCAAAAGGTAACACTCATATTTTTTCCCTTTACAATCATTCCAGGTGCAAACAGGATTAAATGACAGAAGTTTAAACTGTAGGGCTGAATCAAAGAGCTCTTAGAATGAGGACTGAGATGTTAACATTGATCCCATTGATATACGTTACACCTTTTGTTTTTAGTTTTTTTACAGTGTAATGAAATCGATGGAGTCAACCTAAAGCTTAATGCAAATAAATGCTATAACTACTAAATGAGTCTGGTTTTGGTGTTTGTGAATTTAATTCTATTC